GGGGGGAGGGGCCAAGCGGGGCGGGGCGGGCCTGCGGCAGCCGGCGCCCCACCCACCCCCGCCCAGCGGCTGCCCGCGAGGCCGACACTCTTCCCTTAACCGTCTTTCTTTTGAAAAGTTCGATTTAGTGCGTTTATTTTGAGGGGGAGGCTGGCCGGTAAAGGGGTACAGACGCTTTACCTTGGTGTTATAACAGATGTAGTGCTTTTAGATAGATTGATTTGCATTTGGATTTAACAGCTCAGTGAATTAGGCATTCTTATTCCAATCTCGTATTTAAAACTGACCTAGGGTTGCAGATTTAGCAAACAACGTATGTTGCATGCATTATTTGCAAGTACACTAAAAAGCTATTCGTTGTTCATCTAAAATTCAAATTTAACTGAGCGTCCCGTGTTGTGTCCGACAGCCCTAGGTTGAGCGCAAGTTTTTCCTAACCAGGCCTCGGCTACTTTCCTTGTCTTGAGACAGTCATGAGGAATAGTGCACTGCTGGTGGTCAGATGTATATTCGTGTAATAGCACTTTCTTAAAAAGCACTGAAGGGGATTATAAATATAACCGATACATTTCTACTTAAAATGTTAAATTTAGGTCAAGTTTTAAAACAATAAAAATCAATATTATACATTGATTATGAATAAGGACATATGAGTATAGTAACTGTGTATAAGATTGTACTAGTTTTCTATTGCTGCTGTAACAAATTACCACAACTTAGTAGCTTAAACCAACCCAAATTTATTTTACAGTTCTCTAGGTCAGAAGTTCACATGGGTCTTATTGGATTAACAAGTTTTGGGCAGGGCTGAGTTCCTTCTGGAGGCTCTAGAGGAGAATTCATACCCCTGCCTTCCCAGTTTCTAGAGGCTGCCTGCATCCTTTAGCTCATGACCCCCTTACCCCATTTTCAAAGTCAGCAGCATCACCTCTATCCCACTACCCCTCCGTCCCTCTCTCCCTGTCCCTCCCGCCCTCGAATTTTATGGGCTCATGTGATTAGATTGGGCCCACCTGAATAATCCAAGGGACACTCCCCATCTCAAGGCCCTTAACCTGAATTACATGTGCAACCTTAGTTCCTTGCCTTGTAAGGTAACATATTGACAGGTTAAGGAGGTTAGAACATGAACATCTTTGGAAAACCATTATTCTATCACCAATATAGAGGAAAAGATGCACACTAATTTAATGTAGGTGGTTGAGTAATGATACAAAGGGGCCCTACGTGATATTACTGTTATTTTTCTAAAGTAGAATTTTTAAAAGAACTCGAGCTAATAGAGCAAAATGTTAACCTTTCAGAAACTAGCCTAAATTAATGAAGGATTTGCTTACCAAAAAAATACTGGAGTTAGAATCAAAAAAGATTGCAGATACTAACCTTAATAATAGCATAGTAAAATAACTCATTGGTAATGAACTTATAGGTCACAAAACTGTTCTCTTTAACGATATTTTAAACTTGATACATGTTTCAGAGATTCTGGGAGTGGGGAAGATACCCCTCAGTGGTCTTTGAAACTGTGTGGGACTTTCGTTGGGGTTATTGCAATAACTAAGGAGAGAGTGATGCTGTGTTTGGTGCCCAGAGACCAGCACAATAAATGGTAGAGGTATCAACACAGTACCTCACATAAGGCATTTTCTGGCCTAAAATATCAGTAGTGCTCCTGTGGATAAAGCAGGTGAATGACTGTCTTCTCACTAATCTGCCATTCCAAATATGAAGGCAGATTCTAGGCTGTGCTGGGGACCTGACCTTACTATTAAAATGACCTCCTTATAAAGCATCTGAATGCAAAGCTCAGAATAACATAATTATCTACCCAAGTGTTAAATGTGCACACTCCATAACCCAACAAACTTCCAGGAATCTCTCCTATAGAACTATTAGCATGAATATGCAAAGATTAATGTACAGGGTTTTCAGTGCAATCTTTTCTATAACAGCAAAACAAAAAACGATCTTTTTTTGTCAGCTGGGGCTGTGTATTAGTCTGTTTCTGTTGCTTATAACAAAATAACTGGAACTGGGTAAATTATAAGAAAACAAAACTGCTTACAGTTTCAGAGGCTGGCAAGTCCAAAGTCTGGGGAACACATCTGGTGGTGGCAACAATGATCCAGGGGTCTCGCATGGAAGAAATGGCAGAGAATAGAGAAAAATAGTTCCCCGTGCACTCTCCTTTTAAAAACCTCAAAACCACGCCCCTGATCACCATTCATAATCCATTCACTACGGCATGGCCCTTTGTCCTACAATCTAATCACCTCTTCCAGGCCCCACCTTTCAATTACCATAATAGGACTTCCCACCCTCAACAGCTACAGTGGGGATTAAGTTTTGGGGAGACATACAACCCAAGGCAGCCTGCCATAATAAACTGGGTGGCAGCCTGCCACCCACCATAAACTGGGTGGCTTAAACAACAGAAATTTATTTCTCACTCTTCTGGAGGCTGGCAAATCCAAGATCAAGGTATCAGCTGATTTGATTCCTGGTGAGAGCCCTCTTCCTGGATTGCACATGGCCACCTTCTTGCTGTGTTCTATGTGCTAGAAGGCTGTGCTCTAACTGAGCTAACTGGCCAGCTAAAGACCCAACTTTTTTTTTTTTCTATTTGGCAGCTGGCCAGTATAGGGATCTTAACCCTTGACCTTGGTGTTACAATGTTGAGAGAGAGAGCAATCGCCCTCCTGTCTTAATAGGACAATAATCCCATAGGATCAAGATCCAATCTTACAACCTCCCTTAACCTTAATTACCTCCACAAAGGCCCTATCTCCAAATACATTCACACTGGGGGTTGGGGCTAAAACATGAATTTGGGAAGGACACAAACATTCAATTTATTGCACAATCCAAATTTAGTCCACCAATAGAGGAATGAAGAAAACAATATAATATCATACATTGAAGTATTATGCAGCCATTAAAAAGAATTTAGATAAAGTGTTGAGTTCTGACACAGAAAGACATTCACACTATGTTAAATGAGAAAAACAAGCTCAGGTCATATGTACAGAAAAACACCATTTTTTTTGTTTAATTGAATGTTTAAATGTATGTTTGTATATGCATATTATAAAACTCTAATGACATGCATCAAAGTATTTTTTAAAATGGGTAACTCGGGAGTGAGGTGTAATATATTGATTTTTGCTTTTTACTCTAAACAAATCTGTATAATTCCATGTGGGTTTTTTTTTTCTTTTTCTTTTTTGTTTTGTTTTTTAAGTGGCTGGCCAGTACAGGGATCAAACACTGGACCTTGATGTTAGAAGCACCATGCTCTGGGCCGGCCCGTGGCTCACTCGGGAGAGTGTGGTGCTGATAACACCAAGGCCCCGGGTTCGGATCCCATATAGGGATGGCCGGTTCGCTCACTGGCTGAGCGTGGTGCTGACAACACCAAGCCAAGGGTTAAGATCCCCTTACCGGTCATCTTTTTAAAAAAAAAAAAAAAAAAAAAAGAAGCACCATGCTCTAACCAACTGAGCTAACTGGCCAGGCCCAAATTCCATGTGTTTTAATTAGCATGTATGACTTTTAATTGTTAGCAATTGAATTTACTAGCAAAGCTATCTGGGCCTTAAGCTTTCTTTAATAGATATAAGGCTATTTAGGTAACCTATTTCTTCTTAAGTGAACTTTGATAGTTTGCATCTTCCAAGAAATTTGTCTGTTTCATCTAAGTTGTCTAATTTATTAGTATAAAGTTGTTCATAATATTCCCTGTTATTCATTTGATATCTATAGAATTAGTACTGAAATTAATTCTCTCATTCCTGATATTAGAAATTGGTAGTTCCGGGCCGGCCCTGTGGCTCACTCCAGAGAGTGCAGCACTGGTAGCAC